AAAAGTTTAAAAAAAAAATTAATTCTTGATACTAGCTGTGTGATCCTGGGCAAGTCACTTAACCTTGATTGCCTCACAAAAAACAACAACAACAAAAAAAATTACAGGCAGTCTGTTTTTTAATTTTGTGCTGTTGACATGGAACTGGTTCACCTTCTCTTCCTACCATACAGTTCCTGGATGATACCCTTATGCACCTCCCTGTGAAAAGGCCATCCATCCATGGACAAATGCTTCAGATTATGCCCCCTAAAGAACTTAGATTCTTTAGAGATTGGGGCGATCCATGATTTGTAACCATTCAATATCACTGGGAGAAAACTGGTGTTAAAAACAACAACAACAATTGATTTTGTGGGTATGAGCCTGAAGGGGGGAAGCAATTTACCCAAGCTAGTGGGAGAGCTGATACTGAGTCTCAGAATTACAGAATGTCCCAGCTGGAACGGGTCTCAGAAACAAACAACCTTGTTGTGATTGGAACAAGAATCTCCCATCTTCATCATCCCCGACAGGGAGTTAGTCATCCAGCCTCTGTTTGAATACCTCCAGTGAATGAGCCTACCATCTCTCAAGGCAGCCTATCCCACTTTTGGAAAGTTTTTCCTTTTTTTTCCTTTTTTCTTTTTGCTTTGGCAATTGGAGTTAAGTGACGTGCCCAAGGTCACACAGCTAGTAAGTGTCAAATGTCTGAGGCTGAATTTGAACTCAGGTCCTTCTGACTCCAAGGTCGTAGCTCTATCCACTGCACCACCTAGCTGCTCCAAAAGTTTTTCTTACCATTCAACTTGACTCCTATTTTTCTCAGTTCTGCCCTCTTGGGCCCATGAGAACAAGCCCAATCTCTCTTTCCCAATGCAGCCCTTCAAATAGGTAGATAGATACCATGTGTTACCCAAGGCTTCTCTTTTCCAGGCTTCTCTGCAGCTGACCCTAGCAGGATGTTGACCTGCTTTACCATCCTGGTGTCCGTCCCCTTTGGTCTTTCCAGCCTTTCAACGTCCTTCCTAAAATATGCTGCTGAGAACGCACCCCGATGCTTCCAAGGCCCCTCGGTTGGGACAGGGGACAGCTGGACACAACACCTGTCTGACTGTAGTCTGAGATCCCAGGAGTTTTCTTGGCCGCTGCATCACACTCTTGACTCTGAGGAAGCTTGCAGGCTAAAGCTTCTTCAGATCTTTCGGTGAATGACCTCCAATGAGCATGTCTTGACTCTGAGCAGCGCTCATTCCCCTTGAGCAGAATCAGGCCTAGGATGACAGTATATGCCTGTGTGGGAGGAAGGGGCAGAGGGAGGTGGGTGCTGATGACTGCAGTCTTTTCCATGGGAATCACTTCTTGGTTTTTTGAAGGTTTTGCATGATTTCGAGACCTGGCACGCCATGATCTCTGAAGAATGAAAGCTCGAGGAGCACCCAAAGAATCATCATAGGATCCTAGCTCTAAAGCAGAAAAGGACCCCAGAGGCTTAGTCCAGCACTTTCATCTTACAGATGAGGAAACTGAGGCCCAAGATGCCACAGCAATGCTGGGAAGTAAATTCGAGGATCTTCCTTTTTCACAGATGAGGAAACAAAGATTTAGAAAGCTTAGGTGACTTGCTCAGGATGAGCCAGCTAGTAAGGGTCAGAGGCAGAATTTGAACCCATGTTTTCCTGACTCCAGGCCGAATGTTCTATCTTGGCTCTCTGTGCCTCGGTTTCTTCATCTGCAAAATGAGAGGCATGGACTAGATGGACTCTATGATCTCACGACCTACCTCTCTCCAGGGCAATGGAGAGAGGGTCATGGCGGGCGTGAGCAGCCTGTGGCATTAAAAATGAAGGATGGCACTAGAAGGTTGGTGATAAGGATGGCATTAGACAAATGTTCGGCTAGCAGAAAAGAGGGTCACGGATCAAGAAGGTGGTACGGCCCATAGTCAGCCTCCATGCTCCACTGGCCTCTATGCAAGGTCAGGGAAGATGGAGGAAGGCCCTCAATATGTTGGCTGCATCCCCTGGGGCAAACTCAGGGGAGCACCTGGACTCGATTCTCCCTTGCACAGCCAGGCATGGGGGTGGGGGATGGGGGGGGTGGGGAGGGTGGGGGGTGCAATCTGCATCAGTGGAAGGAGGTCCCAGCTCCATCATGCAGGGAAGTACAAATTTGGAGCTCTATCCAGAGCCGGACAGGACCTTAGAGGTCACTGAATGTCACTGTGCTATCTTTGCCTATGGCCAGGGCTTCCCGGGGCGGACGGAGGCCAGCCAGCGGTTCTAACTCCCCTTCTCTCCAGGGTCCAAACACTAATTCCTGAGCTCAGGGAGAACATTTAAATATTAATGTGTTTATTCATTTATTCATGAGCTGGCTGCTTCTTGTCACATTCTCCCTGGCTGTGCCTTGCTTGCATGGCTCTGCTCCCTCCATCTCTATGCCCCTGAACACATTCCCTGTTCTAGGTTAACTCCCCAAGCTCCTGAAATTGGGGCCATGATTGGGGTGGGGGGGTAGGGGTGGTTTCAAGTACTGGATGTGGTTGATAATGAAGGATAATGATACGCTGGGAAGGTCCTGAGCTTGTGACCCTAGTGGGTGGGCTGGGTTAATCAAGGTAAGCAGACTGGAGAATCATAGCACCTCAGCATCACTGATAGGAAGGGACCCCATTTTACAGATGAGGCAACTGAGGCCCAAGCAGGTTAACTGTTAGGAGGCCCAAGGTACACAACAACTAAGTGACAGAGACTTGTTTCAAACCCACACCCTTTTGGCTACTCTCTCCTGTCCTCAGGAAGCTTGCTGTTGAATATGGAGTGGAGTCTTGGAAAGATTTGACTTCAGAACATCAGTCAATGACTAACTGAATGACCCTGGGTAAGTCACTTATTTTCAGTTTCCTCATTTCTAAAATGGGAATAAGACTGTTAGAACCATCTAAGTCCCAGGGTTGCTGTGACTTTGAAAAGTATCACAGAAATGCGGGTTATTCTGCAAGGGAATCTGCTGCCAGGGAAAGAGCCCTGGATTCTGGAGTCAGAAGACAAAATGAGGGGGGAGGGGTGGACTCTGAGGTCTCTAGCAGCTCTAATCCTAACCAGGTGAGGTGCTAGGTCATCCCCTTTCCCTGCCTCAGTTTCTTCACCTGTAAATGAGGGCAATCCTCTTTGCACAAAGATGATTGTAGGGATCAAGTGAAAAGTGTATAAAGCGTTATTGAAATACAGGTTAGCCCGCTTGAGCATTCCAAAGACAAAGTAGTTTGGGCAGCCTGAGAATGCCTTCCAGCCAGGCAGATCTGGACTCTCTTTGGCTTAGTAGGTGGTTTTCCGGAGTTCACGTGGCTGCAAAGCTCATCAGCCTTTGCCCAAACCGCTGGGGAGACCCTCGGCAGGTTTAGCCAGGCGGGTCCTCAGCCCAAATGCGAAGCTTCCCCACTTTGGTAGCCCCACCCCACCACAACCTGCACAGCCTTCAAGGACCTCATAATCATAATCAAGGAGGGAAGGGAACTCCGAAGAGACCCGAGCCATTTTACAGATGAGAAAACAGAGGTGAAGCAGGTTCCCTGCCCGTAGAATTAGAGGTGTTGGAAGGGGCTGGTTTGGCACTTAATAGGTGCTTCATTTTGCTTGTTCTTGGTTTTCGAAGACAATCAATGACGTCGTGGGGGTGGTGTCTTTACTTAATCAATGCTCGTTGATTGACCTTAGCAGCTGTTTACAAATGAGGAAACGGAGTCATGCCTCCTGCATCAACAATGTCCAGCTCAGGCAGGGCACGAGCCCAGGTCGCACAGACTCCAAGGTACCCACTGTAGGCTCTTCATGAAAGATTGCTGATTGATTGCTTAAGGTCACGTGGATTGCCTGGGACAGTGTCAGAATTTGAACCCTGCTCTGCTGACTCCAAAGCCAGCCTGTTTCCATGGCACCAAACCTCTCTTCCCCCTCTTTGTGGTCTAGACCTGTTTCAGTGCTTTCCTCCAGAGCCGGCCTCCGAGTCTCTAAGAAGTCCGACCCCCAGGCCCCGAGTCCAGGGGCTCAAGGCCGGGCCCCTTCACAATCTCTATGGGGGCAGAGCAGGGAGGAGCCGGGGAGGGGTAGAGTAGGGGAGGATGGGTTGAGGGAGGGAGGAGTAAAGGGGAGAGATCTGGAAAGGGGAAGGTGGGTAATGGGGAGGGGGGGAGGGAAGGGGAGAGGAGAAAGTAGGGGAGGGGAGAGCAGAAGAGGGGTACAGTAGGGTACCAGAGGATAGATTAGGGGAGGGGAGAAGTAAGGAGGGAGGGGAAGGGGAGGACAAGGCCAGGGAGGGCAGGAGAGGGGAAGGCTGGTAAAGGGGAAGGTAAGGGAGGACAGAAGAGGGGGAGGGGAGAGGGCACGGGAGGGAAAGACAAGGCACAGGAGGGAGGAAGAGGAAGAGAGGGAGGGAGGGAAAGGGCCCGGGGTGGGGAGCCGGCTCTGGGCCCCCCTCCCCTCTCTCCGCAGAGGGGGGACCCTCACGCATGTCCACAGAGCGGGGAGGGGGGGCGGGGCAGCCTCGGCTCGGCTCGGGCTCCGCACTGCCCCTCCCCCCCGGCCCGACAACGTTACGAAGGCGCTTTCCCCAGCCCCTCCCTCCCTGCTCTGCACTGCAGCTCACCGCATCACCGGCCCCGCCCCCCTCAGGCCCCGCCCCTGGGCCAGCCGGCTCCGCCCCCGCCCGGGCCGCCGGGCCCTGCCGCGGCAGGGCGAGAGGCGGGCGCGTGGCCGGGGGCGGGGCCGCGCCCGGGGGCGGGGCCTGGAGGGGGCGTGTCCGGCGGTGACGTCAGTCCGGGCTCGCGGCCGGCCGGCGCGCCCCGCTCGAGCCGAGCGGAGGGAGCGGAGGCAGCGGAGGGCGTCTCGACCCCGGGCGCTGCTGCTCCGGACGCCGCCGCCGCCGCCGCCGCAGGGGCCGCTCCTCCTGAGGCCCCGGCCCGGCCCCCGCTCGCGGGGCGCGGTCCTCGGCTCGCGGGGCGCGGGTCCTCGGGCGCGGCCATGGCCCTGCGGCGCAGCCCCGAGCCCCCCGGCGGGCCGGCGCGCTGGCTGCCCACGCACGTCCAGGTGACGGTGCTGCAGGCCCGCGGGCTGCGGGGCAAAGGCACGGGGGGCAGCAGCACGAGCGACGCGTACACGGTGATCCAGGTGGGGCGCGAGAAGTACAGCACGTCGGTGGTGGAGAAGAGCACGGGCTGCCCCGAGTGGCGCGAGGAGTGCGTCTTCGAGCTGGCGCCCGGCGCGCTGGACGGGCTGCTGCGGGCGCAGGACGCGGCCCCCGACGCCCCGGCCCCGGGGCCGGCCGAGCCCGCCTGCGAGCTCGTGCTCACCGCCATGCACCGCTCGCTCATCGGCATCGACAAGTTCCTGGGCCAGGCCATCGTGGCCCTGGACGAGGTCTTCCGCCAGGGCCGCGCCCAGCACACGCAGTGAGTGCCGTGGCCCCGGGCCGGCGGGGGGCTAGGGAGGCTACCCGGCCTGGAGCGGGCGCTCCAGCCCCCGTGCGTGCCTTCCGCAGGTCTGTCCTCCCGGAGCAGCCGGCCGCGCCGACGCTGCCAGCCGGCCGAGATGGAGAGAAGGCGGCGAGAGCGCTGCTGCTATCGCGACCCTGCCATTATTAGTGTTATTTTTCGTGTGCGTGTGTGTGTGTGTGTATGTGTGTATGTGTGTGTGTGGAGGGCGTTTCTACCCCAGGCTTTTCTGGAGGTTAACTTGTGAATGCTCTTTGGCAGCCGAAAGGTTCCCTCGGGTTTATTTAGGACTTTAAGGTTTCCCCAAGTCGTGGCTGTGGAGGCCAACCGTTCCTTTTACAGAGGAAAAAACTGGGGTTCAGACCGGTTAAATAACTTGTGCGTGTTCACACAGCCAGTGACTTAGTGTGTAATAGCGCTCACTCTGTAGGATCAGAACTAGACGGGATTGGAACCCAGAACTTCTGGACTTGCAAGACCCCTGCCCTGCCCACTAGGCCTCCTGCGAGGAGCAGCCTAAGAGCTGCAAGTTAACTGAGGCCCAGAGGCGGGGACTGCGTCCTCCCAACCAGTGAGTGAGTGCTCCCCTCCTGGGATGGATGGCAACTCCTGGAAGCCGAGAACACGCTTTTCTGTTTGCCTCCTGTTCCTGTCGCTGGCCCAGCACCTCGCCCTGAGCAGGCACTGGATCAAATGTTTCTTGGTGTGGACTGACTGGCCCAGGGCTGGATCTGAACCCGGGTCTTCTGCCTCCCAGCCCGGTGCTTTAGGCCCTTGGTGAGGAGGGGAGTGGTTGATGGTAGTTCTCCGGAGGTAGATTCACTGGGCTGGAATGAAGGGTGACCCAGAGTGGTCAAATGACCTCATCCTAGTCTTTGCTCCGGCAAGATCTGGGGTGGGGGCAGTGACCAGGAGAGACCAAGGGCTCAGCAGGTTGATGGGGGGAGCAGGTAGCAGCCAGGTAACCTGCAAGGGTTCTGATAGTCTAAGGGGGAGGCTCTCTGGCCCCTGTGGAGGGAGAGCCCCTGGGCAATCAGCTGGGGAGTGCATGTCCTCACAGTGAGCAACCCCAAGGCTCTTCCCTCAGGCCTTGGAAAGAAGGCAGGTGGTGGTGGATTCAGACGGGCCCTTCTCTTTCCCCCAGCTGACATTGCAGTGAGTGAGTCGGTTTCCTCTCCAGGGGCCCCTGGGGGAGAGGAGTGCCTGGTTCGGGAAGGAGGAAGGTGGCTGCAGAGCATCTGTGTGTGGTTAACGGGAAAAGAGTTTGTTTTGTTTTTAACCCTGGTTTTAAGCAGATGGGTCTGGGAAAGGGGAGTGAGTCTGGGGGGGGCCAGCAGGTATTTGGGTCCTCTGTGCTCTGCCTTCGTAGGAATCCACCCTTGAGGCATTGCCAACCCCCAATAGCTGAGCAGGGCCAGGATCTCTGCAGGTGTGAGTGGAGGGAGCCTCCTGGGAGAGCTTTCTGGGGAGGGCAGCAGGGGCTTGGGGGTGGGGGTCCAGGGCAGGCAGAAGACCAAGGCAGAAGAATACCAGAGAAAACTCCTGTGTCTAAGGAAAGGAGTTAGCGTGATGTGAGGGGCACCATGGGGGGTCCCTGGCCAGGCAGGCTCTTGACTTGATCCTCCCCCGCCCTCTTCCCTCCTGACTTGCTGTTAGGTGGCTGGATCAGGGGTCATGTGGTCTGTTTGCATCACCCGCTGGACTGCCTGTGTGTCTGGGCCAGCATTCTGTTAGTCTCCCCCACCCCCCTTCCTTCCTGGCTCTGGAGCAGCTCAGAGGTGATCTGGGACTGGAGGGGCCCCCAGGTGGGGGGCTCCATCGTTCTGAGAACTCTAGTCCCCCCCCCCCCCCATTCTCACTTTCTCCTGCTGGGCCAGCCAGACCAGACCCTTGGCCTCCCGTCTGACCAGGGCCTGGATGGATTCCTCTGCCCTGGTGCTCCATTCCTGGTTAAGGGAGTGGCCAGGGGTAGGGGGGAATCAGGGGTCTCCTGGGGTCTCCTAGGGTCTCAAGCTCCTCCTCCCTCCCTCAATCCCATTTCAGACTGGGCCTCAGTCCTACCTGCAGGGAGGGCAGTTTCCCTATTGAGTCTGACCCAGCCTCCCCATTGAGCCCCCGACAGATGGAAAGGACTTTGGGAGGGCTGCAGGATCTCCCTTTGATGAAAGATGTCTTAGGTGTAATAGCCGCTAATAATAGCTAGCATTTCCATTTTAAGGTTTGTAAAGCACCTCACCCCTATTTGCATTTGCTCCTCTCAACAGTTGTGTGAGGTGTGGTGCTATTATTATCCCCATTTTTCTTATGGGGAAAGTGAGGCCTAGACAGGTGATAGGATTTGGCCTGGGCCATCCAGCTAGCCGGGGTCTCAGGCTGGATTTGAACTGTAGGCTGGGGCTCTATCCGTTATCCTCTCCCCAGCTCCTGGGTCTAGTCTAGGGTTTGTTTACTTAGTGCTAACAGCTGGATGGAGGCTGGAGGCTGGAGGCTTAAGTGTTAATGTCTGAGCTGCCTGGAGGTTGGAGCTGGGCTGGACCCTGTCTTTGGACCAGCCCGGGGAGGCTCACACTTTTGGTAGACATTGACCACAGCTAACAGCTGGAGGTTCTCCCCCCTGCCCCCAGCACAGCTGGAGGCCCTGGCTTGTCCTGTGCCCTCTGCCCTCTTCCTTCCAGCCCTTTCAGCTGGGGGCTCTGCCCTGTCTGGGCCTGGTGCCCCACACCCCCTTCTCTCCAAGGTGGATCATTGGACAGCTTGGCAGGCCCTCAGCCCCTGCCCTTGGGTTTGGGAAGGCCCAACCTGGCGGGTTCTGGAACTTGGTGAAACCTACCACTCTGCACTTGTCCTGGGGGTAGGTGAGTGGAGGCTGCCCCTCCCCAAGGAGAGGCAGGGGCTTCCCTCTGCTCACTCTCTCGTTCTGTCGTTTCTGTCATATCTGACTCTTCATGACCCCATTTGGGGTTTTCTTGGCAAAGATACTGGAGCAGTTTTATTTATTTATTCGTTTTTAGGCAGTTGGGGTTAAGTGACTTGCCCAGGGTCACGCAGCTAGAAAGTGTCAAGTGTTTGGTCTGAGGTCAGATTTGAACTCAGGTCCTCCTGACTTCAGGGATGGTGCTCTATCCACTGAGCCACCTAGCTGCCCCGCTGGAGCAGTTTGCCATGTCCTTCTCCAGCTCATTTGACAGTTGAGAAAACTGAGGCAAACAGGGTGAAGTGACTAGCCTAAGGTCACACAGCTAATACGTGTCTGAGGCCAGATTTGCACTCATGCTCTCCTGATTCCAGGGCTGGCAATCTATCTGCTCACCCCAGGAGCTCACTTCTTTGAGAAACCCTGGATTTGTCCCCTCCCAAACACTTAGTAGCTGTGTGGCCCTGAACCTCACTTTTGTTATCTGCAAATCTGCAAAATGGGGGTGATAATAACAGCGCCTGCCTCACTGGTGAACATCCCCGGACCTGACTGATGTCTGTAAAAAGCTTTGTAGACCTCAGAGGGCAAGGGAAAGCGGCCCTTTTTGTGTCAGGCTTTGGTCTCTCTCCCCACAGTCATTCACGTTTTTTTAATGTTAACACCATCATGAAACTGATTTTGGTGTTTATTCAAAAGTCAAGTAGTTTTAAATAACTCAGATAACATTCTTTATATCAAATATATGTGTGTATACATATACATATCTATCTATCTATCTATCTATCTATATATATATACATACATATACATATTTTTTTTTCTGGTGGGGCAATTGGGATTAAGTGACTTGCCCAGAGTCACACAGCTAGGGAGTATTATGTGTGTGAGGCTGGATTTGAACTCAGGTCCTCCTGACTTCTGGGCTGGTGCTGTATGCACTGTACCACCTAGCTGCCCCTCAAATATATTTCTATCAAATGATATTTACTGGGACAGCTAGGTGGCACAGGGGATAGAGCACTGGCCCTGAAGTCAAGAGGACCTGAGTTCAAATCCCGCCTCAGACCAAACACTTGACACTTACTAGCTCTGTGACCCTGGGCAAGTCACTTAACCCCAATTGCCCCACAAAAAAAAAATGATATTTACTTACATAGAAGTTAAAATAAATATCCAAGGAGTCTAGGAGTGATGACAAGGACTGTGAGATTGTTGGTGAAACTGAGTGAGGGTGTGTCCGTGTTATGAAGTGGACTGAACTGTGCCGGGCTCACGGGCTTAGTTTTGTTTGGTTTATAATGAATGATGATGATAAACTTTTAGGCCTGTGTGATGGCTCCATTTCACAGAGGGGTAACACTGAGGCCTGGAGGGAGGCCAGTGCCTGGGAGCCATGAGGAGGCTGGTTGGTGGGAGTGTCCAGGAGCTCCAAGCCTGGGGAAGGGTTGCAGGTTGTGGCTTCTAGGCTGGGTGAGCCCCCCTGGGATGGGGAGATGGGGCCCCTGGAGAGATGCCCAGGGGAAGGGGAGCTTGCTGGCCATCTCATCCCCCTCCTTCCTCCCGAGTGCCTGCCCCAGTATCCTGCTTTGCTCAGCCAGGCTGGGATCAGGCCTGGAATGCAGCCTTCCCTCGCTCCTCCCTCCCTGTGGCCACTGCCTGGCCCCCAGCCACATTCCGGCTTTCTTTTTGGAGGCTGGTGATGGGTGATGTGACAGTGACTTGGGCATCTCCAGCGCCCCCCCGCCAGCTGGAGCCTGCCTGGGTGGGGTTGGGGTTGGTATGGCAGGCCTGGCAGCCAGGTGACCACAGGGAAAGTACAGACTTTTTAAAGTTGCGTGATTTCATTCCCTAGAACAGTGTTTTCAGTCGCACCCCTTATTTTTGATGCAAACAAAACCTCCTGTCTCACCAGTGGTGTTCCCCCTGACCCAAGGCCTCCTCCCTGAATCCTGACTCTTAAAGATGTGGAACCCACAGGGTAACACCTCAGCTCCCTGAGGTCCTCTCTGCCCCCAGCTTCCTTCTCCCCATTCCCAGACCA